TAGAAGGAAAAACAGAACAATGTAAGGCACCCATATATAGCGGCCCCTGCCTGACCTATATTCAAGTTCAAAACATGTTTCGTCTATTCCTGTAAACATGTTACAATACTGCTGGTTGCCTAATATATCCCTTGAATGCATCTGACTTCCATCTACCTAAAACACGGATCTGAGCATCAGACAACCCATCTGAAGCAGCTTGTGAGGCTGCTCCTATACGAAAACTATGTTCCTTGAACCTATCAACATTAAAGCCACAAAACTCAAGAGAACGCCTAAGCTGAGCTGTGAAATCACCCCGTTCAATGCCCAATGCTCCAGGCAGGCAAAAAAGTGGGCCCGCGTCTACTCCCCGTAACTGGCAAAAATCACACATTGCTTGCACAGGGAAAAGGTCAGTCACCTCCCTCCTACAAAATGAAATAACAAATGCTGTGCCTGGTTTGCAATGCTTAAATTTGGATAAGGTTAATGTCATTGACTGAGGTTTACCCATGGTTTCAATAAACTGCAACTGATTGAAAAGAATGGCCCCACACACACCATGCCTATTTTTAACTGTAATTTCCCCAATCCCGAGGAACCCATAGAATGCTGATAAAAACATTGCTCTAAATAAACGCCCTTGATAAGCAGATGAAATAACGTGTGGAATAGCTATAACTAGACAATGAAAAATATCACTAGTGATAGGAAAAAGGTCATCCAGTTGAAGTTTTAACTTTTGATATGACTGCACCAATTTGTGTACCATAAAAAACTCGGTTGGGTCTGAAAAACCTGCAATTTTATGAACGTAGCTAATGGCTGACAAGTAAGTTGAAACAGTGGATGGTGCCAGGTGCTGCCTAGAAAGGTAGCCAATAAACAAAGCAATGGTTGTTTCCGGAAGTGGTAATGATGAACTATGTACCCCCAACTAGCTATACAAAAATAGGGCGAAAACCCGCCATGCACGCTGATATGTTGTCCTAGAGGAGCTGCAAAATGCCTGCTGTAAAAGTCTGCCTACTTCCATTTCCAATTAAGCCATTGATCTGAACTGATCCACCTGCAAACGAGAAAGACAGTCAGCCAAAATGTTATGCCTGCCTGGAATATGTTTTGCTCTAAAAAGAATGTTAAACTGAAGGCCAATGAGCACGATTCGACGAACTAAAACTATCAGGTCCTTATCCTTTGCTGACTGCTTATTCAAGACTGACACCAGGGCCCCATTTGTCACTTCAAAAGCCAGTATGATTGGAAATAACTCCAAGACTGCAATATTAAGAACTTTCCAGCCAGCTGGCCATTCCCCCAAAAAACAATGAGAACTAAAAATGCCACCATACCCCAGTGACCCAGCTGCATCTGTAAACAAACAAAGAGACTCGGACGAATGCCAGATAGCATCCATAAAAATTGTCTTCCCATTATAACTATCCAAAAACTGCTTCCACACAAGAAGGTCTGCTTTAACCTCTTTAGTCAACAGGATATACAAATTTGGTTTCTGTATCCCTTTTGTCAAATCAATTAATCCATGCAAAAATGCCCGGCCTGGAACCACCACAATGCATGCACAATTAAGGTCCCCATTAAAGACTGAATTTTCTTGAGCATCACCTTTTTCCTTACTAAGAAAGTATCAATCAAGCTGCGGCAACGCAACAGTTTATCCTGTGGCAGTCGACACTCGCCTTGAACTGTGTCTAACTCAATACCTGCAAACACCATGGAAGTGTTGAGTCCCATAGTCTTTTTCTGTGCAATTGGAACCCCAAGGTCAGCACACAAATCCAAAAATGCCTGCAAATCCGAAAAACAGCGCTCCCTAGTTCGCGCCAGAAATAAGAAATCATCCAAAATGTGGATAGTAGCCTCAATACCCACAACTTTAAGCTCTATGGCTGAACTAAAATGTTCAAAATGCGGCATGATGTTGAGCACCCTATTGGAAGACATCTATCGAAAAAGAAATGATCATCCCACCTGAAACCCAACAAACAATGGTCATGTGGAGCTACTGGAATAATTCTAAATGCTGATTTGATGCCAGTTTTAGCCAAGAAACAGCCTAGATCCAGATCCCTAATAATCTTAACTACATCATCAATATTGGCATACTGAACAGTTGCCAACATTTGTTGATGAGCCTGATTATTATATTATATACCAAAAGGCAAGGTCACTAGAGTTCAACTATGTTTACAATACAAGTACGGGAGTACAATTTATTGCAAAATGAATAATTTCTGGGTATTTCCATTTATGAGTAGGCTTCTACCTTTACTATGCGCATCCTTATACAATATACCAGCATTGAGGGTACAATTTAGTACTTGTCTATTGTCTACACACACATACGATATTTGATTCATTTGTGAACATATCTAATATCGTAAAGTAATTGAGACCCCTGTTTCTTTGAGACTGCCCCCAAATTATAAAGTCATTCACACCAGAAAACTTGGGAAAATACTATAAGCTGCTTTCTTACTTTGTTACAAAAATTCTCATTATCTTAAGTCAGAAACAGTGAATAGCAAAATGGTTTTATTAATTGGAATATGTCAATCAACTCATCTGACCCTGTATTAAGTAACTTTCGCGAATATTACAGTTATTTATAAATTCTACAAAGTTTTTTTAAGTATCAATCCACTGCATTATAAATTCTTATCTGACCAACAAAATGAAAACAACTTTAGACTTGTTAGGTTGAGCAAAGTGATTACTTTGTTTTTAGACCTTTATCGGTTAGTTATAGGTGAATGAATGACATGCTTGAATTTCAGTTTCAATGAGAAATAAACACTTGATAATTTGAATGGCATAAAAATACTATAATGCATCCATTGGAGTGTTTGGTAATTAAGTTTCTTTAAGATCATTGGATTGAACATAGAAAATTTATGATGAAAAGTCATGACAATGAAAACATGAAGTTGAAAGCATCAACTGCACTGAAACAGCTATTAAGACTGAAACACAAAAAATGATGAGGTCATTACTACTGAAACACACAAAATAATGAGGTCATTAGTCCTGAAACACATGAAATGATGAGGTCATTAGTTCTGAAACCACAAAATGATGAGGTGATAATTCTGAAAACCATAAGATGAAAAGGTCATTATTACTGGCACACGTAATGATGATGAGGTTATCAGTACTGAAACACAAAACAAAGATGTCATTATTCCTGAAACCACAAAATGATGTGGTCAATAGCACTCTACCAAATAAAATTATAAGGTGACAGTACTGAAACACATAAAATAATGAGGTCATTAGTACTGACACAAGTAAAGTGATAAGTCTAACTGATAGGGAATCCTATGAAAAGATTATTAATTTTATTTTTCAGATGAAGTTTTCCCCGCCAATCGGGATGAAAGTAGTTGTACACAAACTGATGTTGAAGACATTGTGACCTCACTTTTACCTGCCGAGGAGAAATCCCATGGCGATGTGGTAGTTTCAAAAATAGCAGAACTAGAGAAGGAGACATTGGGAAGGGTAGATATGGTGGCATCAGAGACAGTAACATCAAAGGCAGTGTCTTCAGAGGCTGAAACATCAGTTATTGGATCAGATATTCAAGAAGGATCTGGTCATTCTCCCCGAAAAATATCTGATGACAGTGAAGCTAATAAACCTGATACAGATCTCGAGACTGAAAAACTGTTAGCAGCCTTAAGAGAAATCATTGAATCATTGTTTAGTGCTAGCAGTAGAATTGATGCTGACTCTTCAAAGCAAAAAATATTATCAGCTTTAGGAGAACTTAATGAATGCTTTTTATCAGCAGAAGTTTCTAGTGTAGAATGTCGAAAACCTGACGTGAAGTGTCTTGGTAAAAGACCCTTCCGAAGAAAGTAGTACAAATGCAAGATGGTGATGCATCTGTCTCTGAAGATGCTGATGATGCAGGTTTTACAGATGAAGATGCAGATGCAGATGAGTGGTTTCCTGAAGCAGAGAAGACAAAAAAAGGTCCAAGGAAAAAGAAAGTATTTGAGACCTCTACCTCTAAAATTGAGGAAATTAGTCCACCTAAGAAACCAAGAGGAAGACCAGCGAAGGTTGCAGGAGAAATTAAGGTCAAAAGAGGTAGAGGCAGGCCGAGAAAGTATCCAGATTGCTTGGTGGAAGACGTTGATGGAACTAAACAGGATGACAAAGATGAGGCTACAGAAGAGATTGGAGGAAGGAGTTTGCGACTGAGAAGAGGACGACCTCGATTATGCCAAGATGGGTCTGATGATACAGAGGGGAATGATGGAGAGAAAGTGAAAGCCAAGAAGAACAAGCTTCGTTATGGATGTAGTATGTGCGGAAAGTCTTTTGCAGGCATCACAAATTTAGAGATTCATTTTCGAACACACACTGGTGAGAAGCCGTACACATGTGATCTTTGTCCAAAGTCATTCAATGTACCCATCAGTTTTAAGATTCATCAACAGACTCATTCGTCAAACAAGCCATACCAGTGTAAATTGTGTGGCAAGACCTTTAAACATGCCAATTCTTTAACATCGCATAAAATAACTCATACCAAAGATCGGCCATATACATGTAAAGTATGTCACAAAGGTTTCACTCAGACGAGAAGTTTGAAATCTCACATGCGGCTTCACACTGGGGAGAAACCATATCAGTGTGAGCAATGTGGGAAGTCCTTCGCGCAGGCTAATGGGTTACGTACTCATAAAATGACACATACAGGAGAAAAGCCCTATAAATGTCACCAGTGTGAGAGGGCTTTCAACAGTGCTTTTAAGTTGAAATCCCACATAATGATACATACTGGGGATTTTCCCCATCAGTGTGATCTTTGTGCACGCCGCTACACCATGTTGAGTGAATTACGTAAACATGTGCGAAAAAAACATCTAAAAGAGAAGCCGTATCTCTGCGACATATGCGGCAAGAGTTTTGGTGATAAGAACACTTTAGGCCATCACAAAAAAATTCACTCAGGTTCGAGGGATTATCATTGCACAAGTTGCACCAGAAGTTTCTCATACTGGTGAGAAACCATTCTCGTGCACTGTGTGCATGAAGTCCTTTAGTCGTGCCGATAACCTCAGATCGCACATGAAAATACACAGCAGCGCTGCCGATGGCACGTCTACATCTGCAAGGAAACAGTCTAATGCCACAAAGCTATTCCACTGCAGTATTTGCACTCAGGCATTTACGCGAGCGGCACTCCTGAAGAAACATGATGAACAGTATCACAGTGGAGGTGGAGGTGAAGTAGCAGCCATGACAGTTACAATTCCAGTACCAAGTGGTTACATGC